ATCTAAGTCCGCATGAGTGAGAGATGATCGAAAGGACGGAGGATAAAGGTCAATTGGAATGGAACCAAGAGAAAGAATGTGGGCAAATGGATGGCCGGTCGAGGGAATCATAGGAAGGGGGTACTTAGGAATGGGGAGGTAAAATAGGGAGACCTTGATGAGGGGTCTGAAATAATTCTCATCTAGGACAAGGGTTGACCTGACCAAAAGGATCGGTTGGTGCCTTTTTATGAAAACAGGGGTCGGGTGTTGAAAACAAGATGGCGTAATGGTTGCCTTTCCTGATCTACACTAGCGGCCCAGAAATGTTAGTAGATGTAAAGGATGAGGTATCGGTCGTCATCCCGGAAAATGGAACGTGGGCGGACCTTGAACCAGCGTATCAAACGGTAATGCTGGAAGGAGAGGATGCTTTCCTTTGGATAGAAACAATATAGACTAATGTCAGCTTGACGAGGTTGTCACCAAGTTTAATGGATTTGGAATTCCGAGGGACAGTGGAAGCCCACGGGTGGGTCTACTTATCGCAAAATGGGTAGAAAGCTATGATCATAGAGTTGGCACTCAGGAATACACCGGACGAATTGTTTAGGAAGGCAGAAGCAGAGGTTGTGTGGGTTGTATGTCAACGGAGGGAAATGAAAATAGAAAAGGTAGACGTACGGGTGAAACTTGGGAATAGAGGAAGCATGAGGCGACCCGTAAAAACCATGCGATGGGGCCGTTCGAGGGGAACTGGGCGAAGGTGCTGACCAAGATGCTAAATTGCCTTAGCATAAACAATATTTTTGTCCCTAGCGCTGTGCATTGGGGGATAGTCTACAGGAATGTGGCAATAGAGGAGACGTTTCTAGATGGGGTAAGGGAGTTGGTGTACGACGAGGAGGACGACTTCAGTGATGAAGATGAAGATGAAGGGATAGAGGACTGAGACTTCTAAGAGGGGTGGGGTGACTTAACTTAGGAAGGACGGGTGGCCTGGTATTGTCCAGGAAAGGGGAAGATGACTAGAGAAGAGATGATGATGGAATCCACCTTCAAGGGATGGGAACCAAAGCGACTCAGAGGGGGGGTAGAGATGCCTTTACCAACGGAAAACGAATGAAGAGGGACCATGTGCAACTGGGTTGGGTTTGAGGTTGCCTGGGACTTATCGTATGTATGGATATAACGGATTTGGAACCCGATAAGGGAGAAGGAAGGTTGGGATGATATAGCAGAAGGCAAGCTAGAGTCAGTTGGAACGATTGTCCTTTCTGAGGAAGGGTGGCACCTGTTTTGCACCATGTTAGCAATGGGACAGGACCCGATGTGGCTTCTAGGGGATGCAGAGGCCCGGACCCGAAAGGAAGGCAAGCGGTTCGCCAACGAGGGATAAGACGAAGTTAGTAGCAGAGTTGTGATGGGAGGATGAAAGGAACTTAAGCCTTCAAGCCTACGGATAACAGCTTGGGTATCGGAGTTCATAGTCAAGTGGTTTGGAGGGTTTGAACACATTTCGGAAGTAGCCGACTCCATGAGAAAGGTGCATATAGAGTGTGCCTGACTGACTGAGGAGTTCTATAGCCTCTCATTGAAATATGGGCCCTTCTACGGGGATAAAGCCGATGAGGTCATCACCATCCTGAGGATAGGTAAATACGTCCGCCTAGAGGTAAGCGTGGAAGCTTGGGACGCCATAGTTAGCCGGGAGGTGGCGGCCGCACCATCCTATGTGGACGATGTCATTATGCTATTTGAGGTGCGGTGGTTTGATTAAAGGGATTCAAAGTTCGAGCGTCACAGGAAGAACGAAGTATGGAGGGTGCATGTGAATTAGGATGTAGCATAAGAGAGGGGGATGTACATTAGTCAGCAGGGGACGCGAGGAGGCCGAAACAAGGGCAGGCATGAAAACGGGATAGTGGCGGAAACCAGTGTACGATAGGAAGAGGGTGTTGAAAGACTAAAACATGAAAGGCATGGAATCTCAGTGGGTGCAGCAATCAGACCAAGAAACCAGGAAAGGAGACATTGCAAGATGGTCCGACGAATAACGTTCTGGGAGAATAGACCTCGTGGGATCCTGCCACCAAGAATATCAGAAGGCAGGGTCGAAATAAGCCTGCCGGCAAGAAATGCGGTAAACAATCCGGTAATGGACTAGGTAGGGGTAGAGTTGGTGGCGGACACGGTGTACCTAGTAGTGGAGCTGGAATGGCGTACGAGAGGGGAGTTTGGGGGCGTAAATTTGGACCTCCCAGGGTGAATGCATGCGACGGGATCCTTACACCTGTCGGAAGAAGGGTGGCGGACCTTTGGGATTGCCTTGGCCTCCGGGGATGACCCCGTGCGAATGTTCGAAGGGGCATGGCAAATAACCTGGCGGGAGGGGTTTGAGTTTGCAGACCCAGAATGAGATGACGTGACGATGGAGGTAAGAGTTGTCGCGGCAGGGATCTTCGAGCTGCCCAATGAGGTTGTGCGGATGAGTCTACCGCCTTTTCTGCTGAGGCAAATAGGAGGCGTAGAGCGAGTGGAGCAGGCGGTAGCTGCCGTAACTAGGGTAAATTTTGATGAAGCGTTAATGTATCGAGAATACTATCGGGCCTTCCTAGAGATGGGGCCTTTCGGGGACGAACAGGGGCGCGAGGTGCTTTGCATTCTACAAGCAGTAGTAAATACTAGGTCGGGAGTCCCACAAATAAGTGATGAGGCCATGTGGGGAATCATCCAGCGGGAGGTAGGTCGGGGCGCGACATACGTAGATGATCTCTACCTGCTGTACGAGCTGCCAGAGGGGGCTACTACTCCCAGGGGTATGGAGGGATAGTTGGGACTAGAAAAGAGGAATGAAAACACGAAGGACAAAGAGGGCAGTAGGTGGGCGGTTTCTGGGGATTGGTTGTAACCCTTTCGATGTGGACTATGCAGGGAATCACCAAGGCAACGATGGCAGCAAGACGTGAGCGAATGGAACACCAGCCCCGTGTGCGAATATAACTCCAGCCCCGGTACCCCGGACTACCTTGGAATAACGGTGGACGATGGGAAGGGACGCCGCCTTCATGTTGGTAGAATGTCGGTGGACAGGGATGAGATTCAATCGAGGACCCGGGGATGATCTGTATTCCAATATGGAAGTTACGGGGACCATGTATTTGCCTGAGATCGGCTGACACTCGTTGGGGGTAGAAATAGCACAAGGTCATGAGCTGGCACCAGTCTTTCGAAGGGTCGCCCGAACGTTGACCCGGATAGGACAATCAGTCAGGGGTAGAAGGAACGTGGGCTTACTTACCCGGGTGGAAATGAGAGGTTAGAGGGAGTTCAGGGCACCGACCACGCCGCTGAGATGCGGAGTGCCCCGTTTTATGATAGACCTCGTCTTCGAAAGCCTCGCAAGGGCGCAGGAGCTGGCAGACTCAGCGATAGTCTGGGCAGGCCACTTTCTCTTCCCTACCATTGGGATGTTCTACGATGTCGCTGTGGAGCATGGACCGTTTTGGGGAAACAGGGCCCACGAGTTACTGGAAGTCATCCATATCCTGATGTTTAGGGCGCCACGGCTAGACTGGGCGGGATGCGAACGCATAATCAAGAGGGAAATTGAGATAGGAGAGAGTTATTTAGCAGGGGTGAATGAACTATTCGAGGAGCCGACCGAACCAGAAGAGCCGCGAGGGCGAGAGCGGAACTAGCATTCGCAGGCGGGTCAATAGGGCAGATCAAGAATAGTTCGCTGTGTACGGAAGTTCGCCGATGGGAATAAGAAAGGGGCGTCGGACCTGGATGGCTAAAACCCACTAGAAAAACAAAGAAGGGGGGACAGACTCCTAATGATTGACCATAACCCTGAAGGTCAAAAACAGGAAACGCTGCTCGGGAAGACTTCCCCTAGCAGGATGCCTAACCCAGACTCCCTCGCATCGGCCGACGGTACAAGGGCCCTACAAACGAGCTTGTGATAAAGGAAGCCCAGTCACATTCATAGCTCGGCTGGGCGGCAGGGCCAGTCGTGGCTTCTCCTTAAGGAAGGGCAATCAGAAAACGGGGATAGGGAAGGAGGCTATAAAGATAAGCAAACAGAGCTGGGAGCCTAGGGAACCTAAATACCTCGCATTGCGTGTGTCCTGGGAATTCTTTGGCTTATGCAGAACTAAGCAAAATGGCAATGGAGAAGGAGACAGATAACCATAAGAGTGAAGGAGAACCAGGCTTAGGAGGCAGTGCCGCACAAAGCGAAAGGGGGCAGAAGGACAGAAAATCGATAAATCCGGATGATACCAAAGGGAACCGGAAGGAAATCTCCACAGGAGAAAGCTCGGGGAAAACCTGGGGAAGCAGGCAAGGGACTCAGGGGACCAAGGAGGGCAAAAATAAGGATAGGACAAGCCCCCGAAACTCGGAAGGAGCCATGCCTAAGAAAGTAAGGGTCACAGATACGAGGCGCAAACTAACCGAGATAAAAAAGAGGACCACAGAATACAAGGCAAGATTGATTGAGGAAATGATGACTGGGAACGAAGAAGACCCTCTGCGGGAGGAACCCCGGGACGAACGGAAAGCCAGCGAAGGTGGGACTGGATAAGGGGATAAAGGTAGTGACCGTGGGGAAACGCCGAGCAAGAGAAGGAAAGAGAGAGAGAACTCTCCGGGGATGGAAGTAGAAAAGGCTACGACTCCGCCAGCCATGGATAGTAGGGCTAGCCGCCTGCCGAACACGCCAGCAGTAGCACGAGGATGCGAAGGACTTTGGAGCCTTAGAGAAAAAGTTTTGGGATGGTTTGACCCGGAAGGAACTATGAAAACCAGGGAGGGACAGAAGGCCAGCAAGGAAAGTCCGGATAACAGTATGGCAGGCGAGGCCAGCTGCTCCGAGGGCGGCCTTAAGAAGATAGTGTGGTCCCTCACGCGAGCAATAAACAAAAATCAAAGCCACCTTGCAGATGCTAAGAAAAAGTTGACGTTTGATGGGGCGAACATCACGGAATTCCTGATAGATTCGAGAATCTGGTTGCGCTGTTGAAATGGACCGAAGAAGAGAAGATGGACCATCTGGGGCAGCATGTGTCTTTGAGCCTAGGGCGGGACATAATGGTCATTGTGGCCGCGAACCGGTCTTGGAAAGAAACCCGAGATGTGATGATGAGAAAATATCTGGCAGCAGAGAAGATGGCAACGGAGACCGATTTAGCGGCAGTCCAGAGGAAGAACTTCGCAACGTACAATGACTTCCTACGAGAGTTTACTTTGGTGGCACTAAGGATCCCCGGGGTCACGGACCGGATAATGAGCAAGTATTTCCTCAGGCAGTTCTCCGAGTTCGTCAAGGACAAGATCCTTTCAGCTTACCAACAGAGGAGCAAGTTCGTAAACACGCGGGATGTTGATTTTAGCACGGTAACAGATCTGGGTGAGAAAACGGTAGTAAAAGACACGTTGGCCTTGCTCAAGGAAGGGGAGGAGGTCATAGACTTGACCAGTAGGACGGGCGACAAGGTGAAAAAGGGGATTGAAAGCCTACATGAACGGGTGCACGGAGTCGACAACAAGATTGAAAGGATGGAGAGCGCGCTACTAGTTATGCAGGCGCAAGTATCCCGTCCCCCCCTCCCGCCCCAGGAAGCAGTAGTTCTGCCAGGGGTAGCCAATCGTGGATATGGACGGAGAGATCCCGCCAACGAACAATGCAAATACTGTACCGCAGTAGGGTATTTTGTGCGGTCATGTCCGAAGCTCAACCATGACATACTAAAAAGGAGGTGTACCAGGTCATTAAAGGAGGAGATATTTGGACCACAGGGGGAACGGGTGAACTGGAACTCGCCAGGAGGGATGAGGCGAGCCATCATCATGCTCAACGGGTAAGAAATAAAGGCTGTAGAAGCCGAACCGGTGGGCGAGATCATCTGGGATCAACTCCGGGGGCGCGGGCCACAGGTCAATTTTATTTTGAAAAATGACGGACGTGATAGGGTGAACGCGACTACTCGGCTAGGGACGGCTGGGAGAAGGATTAATCGTGACACCGTGATGGAGGAGGTTGTTGGAAGTTCGAAACCCCAGGCAGAGCCTGAGGCCGAGGAACCAGAAAAGGTCTATGGAAAGCCTAGGGAAGAGGAGTCTCCAGATAAAGTTACCGCTTCCAAGAAGAAGTTTAGGTACCAAATCCCGATCTTATCCTTGCCTGAGATCGACGACACCATTAGCAAGTTACTAGGAACCATGGTGTCGGTGTCTTTTCAGACCATGCTGCAGGCTAGCCCTAGGTTGCTCAAAGGGCTTAGACAACTGTTGACCCGACAGCGAGTATAAATAGGTGACAACCCCGAATTACCAGAAGGGGAGAGGGAAGAGGAAGCTCCGCAAGAAGTGGCTAACCTTCAGAGGAGTCGCGAGGGCTTGGAGGATCTCGAGAAAACTTTTGCGGACATTCGTTTGAGTTTGCCCGACCGAGAGGGCGGCGAGGTCATGAGGTCACCACCCGGGACAAAGCTTAACTTTCATGCACTGCCCGTAGAGAAATTGAAAATCCAGATCTGGACTCATCGTACCGACGCGTTAGTAGACGGGGGAGCAGAAATCACTCTCATAAGACGAAATTTTGCAACGATCACGGGATGTACGGTAAACAAGGAAGTAACAGGGAACATCCGGGGAGCTGGCGGGGAAATCCTATTCGCTGGGTATGTCACGAAGTGTGCTGTAAAGGCAGGAGTCAGGGAATCGATCTGGTCGTTTCAGCGGATGACCGTAATGGAGGAAATGGACCATGACATAATCCTCGGGAGATAGGCATGCACTTACACGATGGCTCATACATGGTAGACATAGAGGACCCAGTGACCGGCCGGGAGAGCTCCTCCGACTCCTTGGAACATGAGAAGACCCCCCGAAGGGGAAATTGGCAACATGGTCGCCGTCGTTCGAGGATAGCACGCGAAAAGGGGCTTTCGCACGGATGGAGGGTATGAGATAAAGGGTAGAAATCATGATTGAGGAAGCATTCAACAAGAAGGAGTGGATCAAGATGGGTCTGCCCCAGAAGAAGAGGAGGCACGAGGACGAAGTCCTAGGTGTTATGGTAGCGGAAAAGGAGTCAGAGATCGAACTTGGTGCTAGCCTGCCCAAACGGAAAGAAGTACGCATAGACGTGCCAGAAATCGCACTCGAGATCCCCGATCTATTACAACTCATAAAGGCCCTCAGATACCACAAGGTAGGAGTGGATTCGACAGCCTGGCCAAATTCGAAAGAGAGGCGCAAAAGGGATATTGCCTGGATGGGAAACGAGTTAGTATTCAACCACGAGTCGTAGAGGCAACGGGGGCGATTCCGACTGTTCATTTTTTAGGAGAAAAATCCCAAAAGGAAGTGTTCGAAAGTATAAGCCGGTAGGGAATAAAGCAAAACCGGTCTCGATATTGCTAGAGACATCAAAGGAAGAGACTATGGAGAAGGAGGAAGAGGTCCTTCGAGTGATCCGAGAAAGAAGGGCGACGGAGGGACATCGGATAACAGATGAGGTAGCTGAGACAATGAAGATAGCGATAGACGGGTTCCTAACGGAAGAAGAAACCCGCCTGATCAAAAGGACCTGCCAGGAGTTTCACCTGACATTTGTCTTTAGTGATCACCAGAAGGGACGACTGGATGCGAAGTTGATCCCTCCGGTCAGAATCCACATGGTAGAACATGAGTGTTGGAATGACAAGGGGTCATCCTATGAATTTGGGATAGCAGGAGAAGTAACAGACCTCCTCCGAGCAAAGATGGACTCCTTCGTTGCGGAGCCTATGGCATCGCCATACGCAAATCGGTGGTTCGTCTTTCGGAAGCCTAACAAGACACTAAGGTGGATTCAGGACCTGCAGAAGTTGAATGCGGTAACCATCCGGGATGCTGGCTCGCTACCTCAGGCTGACTTATTAGCAGAATCGCACGCCGGTCGGAGCATTTACTCCCTGATAGATCTATATTTAGGGTACGACCAGCTTCCGTTGGATGTTCGGGACAGGCCATACACCGCTATGCACACCCCCGTAGGCTAACTACAGATGCAAGTGACCCCTATGGGATTCACAAATGCGGTAGCCGAAGCGCAACGCAGGATGCTCGCCGTGGCCGGGGACATGTTCCCAGAAAAATGTGAGCCTTACATTGATGACAATCCGATCAAAGGCGCGCAGGAGAAGGACGAGACGGAAGTCCAGCCAGGGATCCGACGTTTTGTGTGGGACCACCTGCAGGACATCAAGGACTTACTCCGCCGGTTCCTAGTATACAACATTACGGCTAGCGGACCAAAGAGTATCCTAGCAGTACCGGAGGTAACTATACGAGGATTTCGTTGCGGTGCTTACGGCAGGAAGTCGGATCCGGCAAAGACCGACAAGATATCACAGTGGCCGACACCACTGCGCACGACGACGGAGGTAAGGGCATTTCTCGGCGTAGTCGGTTTTTTGAGGATCTTCATTAAGAACTTTGCCAAGATTGTTGAGCCTATCTGGGCTATGATCATGGAAGAAGGAACCATGGATTGGACGGAGGAGCGAAAAGGAGTTGTCCAAAGGCTCAAGGACATGTTGACATCTGAGACAGTCGCCCTCTCCGCACCTTGTTTTAATGACGAAGTGGGACGACCCTTCATCCTAGAGACGGATGGAGGACCTTTGGCCGTAGGAGGTGTATTGATTTAAAGGGATGAGGGAGTGAAAGAAAGACCAATTAGGTTTGAAAGAAAAACCCTGAACTCCGCAGAGCGACGGTACTCAAAGTTCAAGAAGGAGGTCCTAGCCATCTTGCACTGTCTTAAGACCTTTCAGGCTTACCTATTTGGGAGACGGTTCATCTTCAGGATCGATCCGACGAATGTCGCAGGGGCTCTAAAGAATTACAGGCCTATAGATCTGACGGTGGGGAGATGGGTATGACTTATCTGGCAGTTCGATTATAAAATCGAACAAATTGGGGGAATTAGTAACAAGGCTGATGGGCTGAGCCGGGTCTGCATCACTCCCGAAGGGGTGGAGGGTGCGGAGCCCATAGACGCATTCCTCGAATACGAAGGAGGGACTCTCGCGGTGGATAATGAAATGATGAGCGAGAAATGCACATCGGGAGAACTATTGATCTGGACTTTGAAAAAGGGGGCACCTGTCATAGTAGCAGAACTTAGAGAAGGACAAGTCACCACTCGAGGACGCAGAGAAAAAAAGACTCATGGGGAGCGATAGTAGGATCGAAAGAGGAACTAATAGCAATGGCGGTCGAGGGAGGTTGGGAAGCAGTGATGAGCTTAGTGGAATCTTGGGAAAGAAAAGAGTTGCAATGGGTGGTAAACTAGATGCAGGAAGGAAAGGATGGGGGCAAGGAAGGAAAGGAGTTTTTCTATGTCCAATCATACGAAGGGCTCTTTCGGGAGATCGGGCTGTTATTGGTAGGAAACAAACAACCTACGGAAGTTAGTGTTAAAGCAAAAGAGGAAACCGAAAGGTACATCCTTAGGGGCGGTCATTTGTTCTGAAGGGAGGAAGGTGCTATGCCCAGAAGGGTTGTGTGCAGAAGATCTAGGCAAGTAGATGTTATCCAGGCAATGCACGATGGGTTGGCTGGAGGTCATCGGTCGTCCAAAGGAACTTTTGCAAAGATGACGCCACTCTATTATTGGCCAGGCATGGCAGGCATGGTCGCCATATACTGTCTGACTTGCCTTATTTGCCAAGAACGAAGCTCAGTGCAATCTTCGAGCCGCTTAGACCAACGCGGGTGCTAGGGACGGGACATCTGGTCCACCTCGACCTTGCGGTCATGCCTGTATCAACGGATGGGTACAAATATATCCTTGATGCGCGAGACAACTTGAGTGGGTTCGTGGAGGCGGTCGCCCTCAAGAGAAAGACAAGGAGGAGTGTGGCGGACATGATAGAAAACTTCTACTTGAGGCATCCGTTCGTCAGGAGGTTTATAATAGGTAATGGGACGGAGTTTGTGAACCAAGAAGTATTGGGGATGCTTAAGAGAATCTGCATATCGATCAAACTCATCGAGCCGTATCACCCTGAGGCCAATGCACCTGTGGAAAGGGGGCACCAAACCTTGAAAAACATGATTGCGAAGCTCGCAGTGGACCATTTGAGGAACTGGCCTAGGTATCTTAAGCAGACTGTCTTTGCGGAGAATATGACCCCTAAAAGGACAACAGGTTGTATCCCAGCGGAACTTTGGTACGGAAGAGCGATCGACTTTCCTGTGGAAGCCTTGGTACCTACCTGGAATAGGTTAGATGATGATCCACAAATGACTACTGAAGAGTTAATCGAGGCAAGATGTCAACAGATCCTTAAGAACGAGGAGGTCATGGAAGACATCGCCAACCGCGTACTAGACAGCAGAATGAGGGACAAAGCAAGGTGGGACCAGGCTAAGAATGTCAGAAAGGAGCCAGTTCAAGTGCACTTCAAGTGGGAGAGATGGTATTGCTAAGGAACTCGGCACTAGAAAGTACTTGGTCGGGACAGCTGGGAAAAAGGTTCAAAGCCCCCTACCGGGTCGCTAAGCGAGTGTGTCTGAACACCTTTGAACTGGAAGATTTGGATGAAACTGGATTGAAAGGGCCCTTCCCGGGGCAACGATTGGTCAGGTTTCTAACCCGGGACCCAGTGGAACAATGGCTTCAAGAGGCCGAAGATAAGGAAACTGAGGAGCCACAAGCTAAAGACTGACCACAGCCTTGCCCACACTATGATTTGTCTCTGACCATGTCCATGGGACTGTCATTTTTGGGGGACTGGGGCAACGGCTTGGACTGACTGAGGTTGAAGGGCAGCATGACTTGGGGGTTTGCAATATCTGGCTTATGCGACGACGGGAAGGGATGTTTGGGGCATTGTACCATAGTTTTTGACGGGAAAAAAATGGGATCTTCACAAACGACGTTTTTGCATAAGGGAGGGAAATGTAAAAAAGGGGCATGATGCGAAGGATACTGGGGGCATTTTTGAGAAAAGGGAGCTGTCTACCGGACTGGGGGGAATGTGTGTATGCGGGGTATTGCGGATGTTGTTTTGTTATACAGGACCTAGGAGAAAAATGAGAAAAGACAAAAGAATGGAATTCGGCAACGAGAACGACAGCGAGGCGATCAACAGGCGTACCGGAGGGGAGGAAGCAGGACCAAGCCAAGGGAGGAGGGCGGCGAAGAGAAAGTTGTACATAGGACTCATGGGCGGGCCAGTGCTAGGCAAGGGTGGAAGGAAATGCTTGTGTAGGAAACCCTCACCCCTCCGCGAGGGAGAAGGTATAGAAATCTCGTTTGACAGTGAGGGAGGGAAGGAAAAGGCAGAAGTGGAAGAAGGAGGCAATGTAGAGATGGGAGATAAGGTTCAGGTCTCTGACGAGGAAGGAGTCAACAGGGGCAAGCGACGTGAGACTTGGCATGAGGAAAGCGAGGGGGGACAAGACATGCGCGACGAACATGGGGAAGGTGAGGAAAGAAGGGAAAGCCCGCTTGAAGGACGAAGCGGCCATGACAGTTGTGAGGGGTATGGGACGGGGACAAAGATTCCTTTTACCTACGATCCGAAGAACCTTGCAGGTGGGTATAGCCCTATACAGACAGAAGGCGAGGATGACGAGGAGGAGGATGTACGAGAAGTCATAAAAATCAGCAGCGGGGATGAAAGGGATAAGATCTCCAGGCCTAGGGAAGAGGGGCGGCCTCCGATGCACCAGCCGGGCGACGGGGCTTTCAAATGAGAGGACGAGTTTGGACCAACACCCAGTCATTGGTTTCAGCAGTGGACCAATGTGATCAGGCACGAATGGATTGCCAAAACTCGGGAACTCGCAAGGGCAGGGGTGGAAGCCACACCACTGAATTTTTTTAGCGAGGCAGAGTTACGGAAAATTGTAAGGATAAGGAGAGAAATCGAGACCTTCGGCCTGGGGGTCAGACAGCCAGCTGAGGAACAGGGTGGACCAAGAAACGAGCAAGTCGAGGCACAAGACAACAATAGGCATTAGATGTTGATTGAGTGTTGGACAAGAATCCTGGTTTTATTTCTCAAATTGCAAAACATTGGAGCAGAATGTGTATAGTATGAGTAAGCTTGCAAAGGATGAGTGATGGAAGGGCCAACTAAGACTGTGTCGTGATAACATTAGAAGATAGCGTATTGAGGCTACTTTTGGATGAGCTACCTTCGAAAGTGGGTACACAAGACAAGGACATGGGGAATGGGATGAAACCAGTTGGGAAGGGTGTATTGTGAAATTTGGATGGAATGAGGATTGAGCTTTTTTAGGAAAGAAATTTTGAGTACGGATTAACGAGCAAAGCAAGGCATTGAATGTTGGTCAAGAAAGTTTGATTGAGAAATGTTGATTGAGAATGTGCTGGAATGAGCAATAAGAGATGGAAAAGGCAGATGGGTCGGTCATTGAAATAGCCAATGGGATGAATGGAAGAAAAAAACGGCAGGTCGGTCATTGAATTAGCCAATGGGATGAACGAAAGAGATCGAAAAGGCCGGTGGGTCGGCCGCTGAAATAGCCAAGAGGGCGGAAGAAAAGGTGTGAATGAGAAGGACAGGATAAAGAAGGCGGAGCCTTAAAGCCAAGAGGGGCAGGGACCGTTAGGGCGGTCACAGAGATTGGGTGTTGAGGAATGAGAGAATTAAGGATTGAATGGGTGGATGGGTCAGTCTTGAGAAATGGCTATTGAGAAAATGACCGCCATACCGACCATGTGGGTGGCCTTGTTGATAAGAGGTTGTCGGACCAGCCATGAGAATCAGCCTTGGAAATAGCATGGGATTGAGTGTTTGAAGATTGAATATTGCATTGCATAGCCAGGGGACCCTAGGTGACTTGATGAAAGGTTGTCGGGCCGACCATGAAAACAGCAAGAGATTGAGCTTTCTTTTTTTTCTAATCTCAGGTGTCAACATAAGGGGGATAGCAATGCCTGCATCGCGGCCCCAAGACCTCTACCCATTAAGGGAAAAGTCTCAGCGTGAGCTGCTCCTCATAAGAAGGAATAAGGGTTGAAGGACCAAAGCACCTCTCTCTTTGATTGATGCTGGTCGTCCGGAACTAACCCCGACATCGAGCTCTAATCGGGGAGTTCAAATTGCGCCTCATGTTGAAACCTAAACATCAAGGGCGTGGTGCCAAACGGGCGAGAGAGTCATTTTTTTTCCTAAGTCTCAATTTTTCTCCCCAACCATACGCCATGTCGTAGAGGGGCGACACGACCATTTGGAATGGACCACGACTGCTCGCGTTAAGTTGAGTAGCACTGTCCGAAAGGAGGAATCGGGCGTGGTACCGGGTGAAAGCCGCAACCACCACAGGGCGAGTGACACCGCCCTGCCGGAGCATTACAACCGTTCCGGGACTAACCGCGAGGTCTTCGTAACTGCACTCGCAGACTAATAGAGAGTCCCAACTCTCTTGAAAGGAAGAGGCCGGATCCAAGAAAACACCGCTCGGGAGGA